GCTGGAGGGACCTCCTGGAGGGATCTGGGGGGACCTGAGGTGCCACCAGGCCCTGATGCACCTTTGGGAGAGGTTCTTTTTGGGGTCTAAACATGGTCTTCAGCCGTGCCAAGATGGCTGCCACCACTAAAGGTCCTTCTCCCTCCCCTTTGCAGGACAGCAGGAACATCTGGAGAAGGTTGGTGGCTCCTCTCACTCCTCCTCACTGGTGGCCCATGATTTTGGGGACACAAATGTCCTCCCAGACCCCCCCCCCTCCAACTCGTGGTCCTTTCAGGAGGCCACACAAGGTCCAAGGAGGGTGTTGAGGAGCAAGGAAGGGTCACCAAGTGATGGTGCCTCCTCCATGACCTCCTCAATCACCTGGAGGTGGAAGGATTTGGGGTCTTGAGGACCATCCAAGGTGGGAGGGAAGCCAAGGCTGAACTTCCCCCCCCCTTCCTTGTGTCCTCTTAGGACATGGATGGAGATGATGGGTCAATGGGAGGACAAAACTGGCCCCAAAAAGGCCTTTTTTTCCTCCATCTCCTGGACTTGCCTTGGTGGAGGTTGGTGCTTGGTGACCACCAGGAGCAGGATGGTCCTGGCCTGAAAGCTTCTTCCTCCTTTCCAGGCTGGAGAAAGATGGTGGCCAGAAGGCAACTGGGGTGGGACAGGAACCCCCGGGGCTTCCTGAGGAGAAGGTGGCCCTGAGGGAGGTGCTGAGGAGACACCGAGGTAGGAACCAGGGACTTGAGGGGCTGGAGGGACCTCCTGGAGGGACCTGGGGGGACTTGAGGGGCTGGAGGGACCTTCTGGAGGGATGTGGGGGGACCTGAGGGGCTGGAGGGACCTCCTGGAGGGATCTGGGGGGGCTTGAGGGGCTGGAGGGACCTCCTGGAGGGATCTGGGGGGACCTGAGGGGCTGGAGGGACCTCCTGGAGGGATCTGGGGGGACCTGAGGGGTTGGAGGGACCTCCTGGCTGGGAGGGGACAGAGCTGAGGGGACATCTCAGGTGCTCCCAACACGTCCTCACCTCGGGCAGGGGCACCTTCCACCAGGCCAGCCCTTGTGCAGGACCTTCCACTTCAACCTTCTAGAACCTCTTTGACCTTCTTGGATCTTCTTGAACTGTTTGAACCTTCCTGAAACTCTTGAACCTCCTTGGACCTTCTTGAAACTCTTTGACCTACTCAAAACTCTTCAACCTCTTCAACCTTCTTGAACCTTCTTGGATCTTCTTGAACTTCTGGGACCTTATTGGACCTTCTTGGATCTCTTGAACCTTCTTGACCCATTGAACCTTCTTGAACCTTCTTGGATCTTCTTGAACCTCTCTGACCTACTCAAAACTCTTCAACCTCTTCAACCTTCTTGAACCTTCTTGGATCTTCTTGAGCTGCTTGAACCTTCCTGAAACTCTTGAACCTTCTTGGACCCTCTTGGATCTCTTGAACTTTCTTGACCCCTTGAACTTCCTTGAACCTCTTTGACCTACTCAAAACTCTTCAACCTCTTCTACCTTCTTAAACTTTCTTGGATCTTCTTGAGCTGCTTGAACCTTCCTGAAACTCTTGAACCTTCTGAAACTCTTGGACCTTCTTGCACCTTCTTGAACTGCTTGGACCTTCTTGAAACTCTTGGACCTTCTTGGATGTTCTTGGATCTTCTGGAACCTTCTTGGATCTTCTGAAACTGCTTAAGCCTTCCTGAAACTCTTGAACCTTCTTGAACCTCCACGGGTTTCTCCTCTTCCCATCTTAGTCATGGGCCTTAAACCAGGCCCTGGGAGCCACCACCAGGCCCAAGTCCTTCTCCTCAGGGCTGCTCTCCATCCACTGTGCTTGGGACCTTCCACTTGACCTTCTTGAACCTCCTCAACCTTCCTGAGCCTCCTCAACCTCTTTGGGTCTTCTTGGATCTCTTGAACCTCCTCAACCTTCTTGGATCTTCTTGAACCTCTTTGACCTACTCAAAACTCTTCAACCTCTTCAACCTTCTTGGATCTTCTTGGATCATCTTGAACTGCTTGAACCTTCTTGGATCTTCTTGAAACTCTTGGACCTTCTTAAACCTCTTGGACCTTCTTGGATCTCTTGAACCTTCTTGAACCCTTGAACCTTCTTGAAACTCTTGAACCTTCTCAAACCTTCTCGGATCTTCTTGAACCTTCTTGAATCTCCTCAACCCTCTTGAACCTCCTCTATCTTCTTGGATCTCCTGAACCTTCTTGGATCTTCTTGAACCTTCTTGAATCTCCTCAACCCTCTTGAACCTCCTCTATCTTCTTGGATCTCCTGAACCTTCTTGGATCTCTTAAACCTTCTTGGATCTTCTTGAACCTCCTCAACCCTCTCCAACCTCCACCATCTCCCCACTTCCCCCCCAACCACCCCAAGCAAACCCCAACCCCCCCAAACTCCACCAAGACCCCCCCCATGACCTCCATCTTCTCTCTCCCCCCAAACCCACCCAGTGGACGTGACCCTGGACCCAGACACAGCCCATCCCCACCTGCTCCTCTCCCAGGATGGCAAAGGGGTGAGGTGGGACCCCCAGGCCCGACCCCCCATCCCAGACCACCCCAAACGTTTCGACTCCTCCCGTTGCGTCTTGGGCCTCCAGGCCTTGCTTGGGGGGAGGTGCTACTGGGAGGTGGAGGTGGTTACTGGGACGGCCTGGGCCGTTGGGTTGGCCAAGGAGTCGGTGAAGAGGAAGGGGAAGGTGAAGATGAACCCCCGGGAGGGGATCTGGGCCTTGGGGAGGTGTGGGGGGCACTGGCAGGCCTTGACCTGCCCCCCAGTCCCCCTGGTCCTGCCCTGGGGGGACCCCAAGGTGGTGGGGGTGGAGTTGGATCGCGGGGGAGGCCGCGTGGCCTTCTGGGACGTGGGGAAGATGGCGGCCATTTTCAGCTTCCCGCCCGCCGCCTTCGGGGGGGAGGGGCTGCTGCCCCTGCTCTGCCTGGGGAGGGGCTGCGAGGTCACCCTGGCCCCCTGACCTTTGACCCCTCCATGTGACCCCAACCATGTGACCCCATCCAATGTAGGGGTTCCAGGTGACCTTTGACCCCCCCTCAACCATGTGACCCCAACCATGTGACATCTGCTGTAGAGGGCTTTGCCCCTGCCACTTGACCCCAACCATGTGACCCCACCCTTGTGACCCCAACCGTGTGACCCCATCCAATGTAGACGGTCCAGGTGACCTTTGATCCCCCCCAACCATGTGACCCAAACCATGTGACATCTGCTGTAGAGGTTCCAGGTGACCTTTGACCCCTCCATGTGACCCCAACCATGTGACCCCATCCAATGTAGGGGTTCCAGGTTACCTTCGACCTCCCATGTGACCCCAACCATATGACAACAGGTATAGGGGTTCCAGGTGACCTTTGCCCCCCCACTTGACCCCAACCATGTGACCCCATCCAATGTAGGGGTTCCAGGTGACCTTTGACCCCTCCATGTGACCCCAACCACGTGACAATAGGTGCAGGGGCTCCAGGTGACCTTTGACCCCTCCATGTGACCCCAACCACGTGACCCCCAACCATGTGACCCCATCCAATGTAGGGGTTCCAGGTAACCTTTGACCCCCCCTTCCCCACCACCACATGACCCCAACCACGTGACAACACCCCGTGTAGAGGCTCCAGGTGACCTTTGACCCCCCCTCAACCATGTGACCCCAACCATGTGACAACAGGCATAGGGGTTTCAGGTGACCTTTGACCCCCCTTCCCCACCACCACGTGACCCCAACCATGTGACGTCTTCTGTAGAGGGTCCAGGTGACCTTTGACCCCTCCATGTGACCCCAACCATGTGACCCCATCCAGTGTAGAGGTTCCAGGTGACCTTTGACCCCCCTCAACCATGTGACCCCAACCATGTGACAACAGGTGTAGAGTTCCAGGTGACCTTTGACCTCAACCATGTGACCCCAACCACGTGACAACAGGTCTAGGGGGTCCAGGTGACCTTTGACCCCTCCCCCAACCATCCAGGGGTGGGGAAAAAAGGGAAAAATTGGGGTTTTAATCAAACCTGGAATTTTGGTTCCTTTTTCTTTTCATATTTTGGGATTTCGGAGAAATTTTAATTTGATTTTTTCCTCTATTTTGGGGTCGAATCAAATAAAATTGGGTCTTGATTTGCTTGATTATTGGTGATTATTGATTAATAAAACCAAATGATTTTGGGTTCTTCTGGTTTTTTGTGGTTATAAAATCAATTAATTTTGCTTTATTATTTTTATTTCTGATCAAATCGATTAATTTTGGTCATTATTTGGTTTATTAATTGGGGGTCCAGGTGAGTTTTCCTCTTTTAAAATTAAATTAACATGAATTAAATGGATTAATATTCATTTATTCAATTCTAAGACATTAATTTGGAGTTATTAGGGGGTTTAATGTTAATAATATAATCGTTGTAGGTGATTATGGGTAATAAATATATTCTAATAAGTAATAAATAATATGTAATTATATAGAATATGTTTAATTATAA